CCCCCTTAACTACCTTCAGCAAATAAAGAAATTTGGTAGATTAAAGTCATAACTGGAGGAGAAAATGGAAGACACAAAAGGACATGAAAATAATAAAGCTGAAGATGGAGTATAGTTAGAGGACTAAAAGTAGAGGGTGAAGAGAGGTAAAAGCCCTGATGTTAGGACTGTGATTGTGTGTGTGTGTCTGTGTGTGTATGACTGTGAGACGTGGCAGAACGAGGCCTAGCCAAATGGCAGATCTGTTCCATATGTTTCCTGGAGACAGAGAGCGAAAGAGAGAGAGGCAGTTCCCCTCTACCCCACCCACAGCTCATGGAGTCTTTATTTAAAAAGACAAAACAGACCAGAAGCAAACCATCCATATCCCTACTGTACTTCAGTTTAGGCTAATTTTCTTTAAACTATAGATAATAGTTTCAGGTAAAGATGGAGGTGACGAGTTCACTCGGCAGGTGTTGGATATCTGGGAGTTTGCAGGAACTGTTGCTCCTTAAACTCCCAGAGAAGCTGAGAGAGAAAAGAAAAGATACAGCCTGTCATGCTTTTCACTCTGGTTTGATCTCATTTTTCACTGCCATATTCAGTCATGTTGCTTATTTATCGCATCTATATATACAGTAAATAGGGAATCTGGAGTTCTGCAGGACCTGGGCACCTTCTAGTCACTGAGTCATGTGTCTGTCCAATGCGCTATTGTTATTGCTACTAAAGGTGGTTCTACAAGCTGTTGAATCATGGGGTGTATAGTTTTTCACATGTTCCTTCTGCATGTTGGTTTTATTTTTGTTAAATAAGTAATTAACATTATTTGAAATGTCATGTTATTCATCCGAGGTTAAATTTAAATAATTTTAGAACCTACTATCGTCCAATCTCTTTCTTATTATGTTTTTATGTAAGAGCTTGAAAGTCTTTGGGGTTTCTTTGTTTTTTTTTGTTGTTGTTTTTTTTTTTGGGGGGGGGGTCCACATGGCTGTGTTTAACTTGTCAAATACTTTTTGTTAGCAGACCTGGAATGCAGAACCTTTTATGTCTGCAATCAACACAATATTTTGAAAAACCTTCCATGAAAACCCAATAGAGGGGGCACTTTTAAAGCCTATATCTTCATCTTTGTAAATAATCCACTGTTAAACAAGACTAAAAATCCAGAATTTGGTTGCTAACAACAAAAGTGTCCATAGGGGGGAAAAAAGAATACAGCGAAACGTAAATCAGGAACAAAACAAACTCGTGGTTTGAGGCAAGCTGCTATAACCACCAAGAACAATAATAAACATAAATACAGAAATATAAAGTTACAAGCTTGTTAAAGGCATACGTTACTCAGAGAAATAAACAACAACAAATATACCACCCACCTACTGTGTACAGTGGGTTTATTAAAAACACAGCCCAGCACCACTGTGCACTTTGACGCTTGCTGGTGATGATTTTTCTTTTGTTTTTTTTAGTCCCACGGTTGGAAAATTCACTTATCACAGCTGGAGAGTGGATAGAGCAGAAACAATAACAACAATAATACTATCCAAAAAAAAAGTAAAATACTATACAAAGATACTTATTAATTTCTTAATACATGATTATATTTCTTAAGTTAGCTAAAGCTATCAAATACTGACTACACCACTTTTAATATGTACTTCATGATTGTTTACAGCTTGTTGTGCTGCCCCCAAGTGGCCTCAGGTGTTGCAGGTTTAAGCAGTGTAGCACTCTATGGTGTAATTTAGACACTTTTTAGGTGCATAGTAGGGCTGCACGATTTTGCATAAAATGAGAATCACGATTCTTTGGCTTAGAATTGAGATCACGATTCTCTCACAATTTTCTTTTCCAATATAAATATTTATTGCACTTATTAACTGCACATCAACTTCGTAACAGTTGAGACTTAACATAAAAACAATAAATAAAACATAAAAACAACAAATGTCTCACATTTTGTTGTTGCCGCAAAATGTACTGCTTGAAATTCCGTCTCCACCGTTGCTCGACACTGCGTGTATTGAGCAGGTAGTGCAACAACGGGACGGCACTGTGTAGCGTTTGTCTAGGGTGTTGATCATTTTCCTAAATCCCTCGTTTTGCACAGTGTTGATCGGAGCCATATCTTTGGTCAGGTGATAAGTAATAGCCTCCGTAATTTCTTTGTGCCTGCGGGAGTTTGACGTGTATAGGGAAGCGCTGTATAAGGTTCCCGTTATTGATGTTTGGGTGGTTGACCGGGACGGATTTTCTCCTGTCACTTGCTCGTCATCCCTGACGTGTTCTCCGTTGTTTTTTCCCCTGCCAATTTTAGCATCACACGGCACAGTTTCTGTATCATGTGGTATAAGGCTCCGCCCTTGTCATTTGTTGAGCAGGAAGAGTGAGCGCTTGTTTTCATGCAGATTATGTCCCGGATCAAAATGCGGTACAGTCGTCATCGTCTTTTTTTTTTTTTTTATCGTTGTCATTTGGAAATGAGATGGCACATAAGTATGAATCGAGATCGCGATTTTCTAACGATTAATCGTGCGGCCCTAGTCCATAGTATAGTTTTAGGATGTACTGTTATGTCTGCCACTTTAAGTACATTGTCAGGAAGATCTAAAAGAATTGGATTATTCCCATAAATCATTTATTTTTCTTGGTGATGATGTACGAGTTGATAAAGCCACTTTGATTTTATTTATTAAGGTTATGGTGGTGACCTTATGAAACCTTTACTGGTATGTTGCTCTTCCTCTTCCATGTTCACAGAGTGGACAAAATATTAAAAGACCTTACCTTTTGTATCTGATGCAACCCAATACAAGAGTATACATTGTCCTATAGTCCTGGATCAGGCTTGCCACACCCTTAAGAGGCTCCATTTTAACAGATGTCTTGTCCTTCCTTCAATTTTGTGGCAATGATGCACAGGATGTCTACAATTTCCATCTCAGTGATGATACAGCTAAACATTAGGTCTAAACATTAACTCTTTGGCATGAATAGTTACTGTGTTGTACAGTGCTGATAAAATGCTGTAGCAAGCAGTTTTAAATGTACAATGGAAAAGTGCTTTTGTAAGTTAAATGTTGCATAAAAGGAATGATTAGAAGATTTACAAGAGCTGTCACTTTTTCCCGAGTCTGGCCCTTTGGAGACATACTTTTTTTTAAAAGTAGTGGTAGACTTGGCTGTAATGGCAGAGAACATAAAGAACAAAGAAAACTTTTGTCAAATTAAAATCTGGTTCTGGATTCGTTTCCAGACCACCACTGACACGGAGAGAAATGCCTCTAACTTTTTATTGTGCAGTGACATCTTCTGGAGAATAAATGTTGCTGCTCTTTATCAGCCTCATGTTAGATAAACTGGTCCAAGTATCAGCATTAGGCTGGATAATTCATTTTCTTGGTCCGAACTAATTGGTTTTGGACTAACTTGACAATATTTCATAATTAATGAAACAATCATCAACCTAAACTTTACAGCGCGTAGGTTAGAAGGGATTACCAAGATGTTTTGCTTAGAATCAGTTCTCAATTGCCCCTTGGGGATAAATAAAGTCTCCTGAATCTGAATCTGAGAATTCGCTAGAAAACAAAAACAAACAATCTGATGAAGAGCAGGTGTCCTCGAAATGTCACCAGGCACAACAAATAAGGAATCTGGAGTTCTGCCTTGTGTGAACCGTTACTTCTTGTTCTTTGTCTCATCAGTTGGCAGCCATCTTGAGAGGGCACTGTGCAATTATTCGAGCATTTATTGTGAAGCATTATCTAAAAAAAAAAAAAAAAAAAAAAAAAAAGTTTACCCCAAAGTAAATCTTTGAAAAGTTTTCCCTTGGAAGTGGGTAGTTACTTCTACCACACTTGTTGTTGTCAAATTCTCTGATACATTTCAAGGATTTTGGCATTTTTTGAGTGCCATGTCTCTAGTGTACAGAGACTCAACATTTGTCAATTTGCTAAAATTTTATTAAGGATTTTTTTCTTTCTTTTCCGTCTTAAAAATTTTAACTGAATAGTTTTATAAAGCTTGGGCGAAAATCCCTTTAAATGTTCAACATTTGCTATTTTCTGATATTTTGTAGACTAAATGACATTCATAATGTTTAGTCAAAAATGTCTGAAGGCTGCAGTTCACACATAATTTTCTTGATGTTATAAATAAAATTGTATGTATTTTATATTATGCAAATATAACCAAACTATTATTATTTTTTATTTAAGTTTTATAAAAAATAGACTTTAACTTTCCTTGGTTTCATTTTTGAATATGTGTATACAGCTTATTTTCATTTGAAAATGAATTAATAAAATTCTAAGATTCCCAAATAGAAATGATAAATTCACCTATTTTGTTTTTTAAAATAAAAAGTCAAGACTTACATGTGGAGATGTTCCAGTTTTATTTAGCGACATCCTCAATAAATATAGCACCATTTCAGATCAGAGACCATTGGAAGAAACAGGGACATGGTTGACCATGAGATGTTCTCAGATATCCAGATTATGAATCCTCCTATCTTATTATTTTAAAATTAACTGTAGTTCACATGGATGCTATAGTTCTCTTAAACAGGGGTAAATTTATACATTAGTTACAGGTAATCAGTATATCCCCAGTCCTGCAGAGGACGTATTTGCCTCAAGGCCAATGTATAATCCAGTCTGACATTAGGCTGTCAGCTTCTAAATAAAAACATAACAAACATGCATTGAGATAATGTAAAATATCCACAGACATGGGGCTTCAAAGTGACACTTCATCACTGTGTGCAAAGTGCACTTCATAATGCCAACACCACTGACCGTACAGACTTCTGCTGGAAGAAAAAGATATTTCAGTATAGGTGTAGCTGTTCAGCTCCTGTTAGTGGCCTCTAGTGACTCTTCTACGATAATTACAACATCTAATTTGAAAAAAAAAGGCTTCTTCATAATACAAATAAAGTTTTTGTAAGTATTACAAAGACTTAAACACTTTTCTACTCTACATCTCATTAAACAATGCTTACGGTTTTAAAATTAGAAAGAAAATAATAAGAAAAAAAGAATCTCCTTTCTTTAAACAATACATGTACAGCATGTAATACCACTCGTATCATTGGGTGATTTTGCTCAAAAAGTGACCAGAGGGAGGCGCTTTATTCCTAAGAAAGTGTACAGAATAAAAGCTATAAGGCAAAAGCTAAACATCCTATCATGCACCTTACAAAGGTGAGCAGGGCGCTTGTTTTAAGATTTGATTGTAATGCTGTTCATTCTGTGACATCCTTCTATTTCATGATGTTTGTAGCTGCTAAAAACATTTCCTAGTGTTATAACTTATGTTATCATTTTCATCTTCATCAGGGTGTAAATGGTACTTTCATTCCCTGTGTGCTACAGGTTCAAATATACATCTTTCTAGTTTGTTTGTTTTTTAACGGTTAACCCTTTAATAGGAGAGTTTAATCTGTTTTTAGCCTATCAGAATTATTTCCAGCTATGTCCTTATTTTATCATTTCCCTCCACACTACTTTCTGAAGTTTCCAAGCTGTACACCCCTCCGTCCGGTCACGCAGCGAAAGGTTGCCGGCTGTATGGCCCAGTATTTAACAGGGTTGGCAAAGAGACTGATGCCAGTGTACAGGTTCTTCTTGCTGTCGTCCCTGATGGGACAGAAGTCGTTGATTCCCACACTGCTGATTTTGTTGCCATGGAGGAAAATTACCTGAACAGATGGACAGGATTTTGTGTTAGTTATTCTTCTGCTTTTTTTTTTTTTTTTACAGCAAACTACACATGAGTAAAAGTTATGCGTTATTACTGCTTTATTGCTACACTGGAACCTCATAAACACAACCCAATAGGAGGAATGGTCTGTTAGGCATTACTTAATGACTCCAGGTTGCTAAGTTAAAGGAGTCTTGTCTTGCTTGGAAGGCTGAAATATATTCCTGCAAACATATTTTTCCTTTTTTATTTACATTGTGACTGAGTCATTCTACAAGAACCATATCATGACTGTGAGACTTCTGCTCAAGCTACTCTTATATTGGAGTAGTGGTGGAAGCTCTCATGTTTGTTCCACTTACACATTAGCAGCTGTGAGTGTATATAAGTGGAAAAAAGTTACACAAGGATTATACTCGCTTGTGGACATGCACACAGACGGCTGCAGACACCACAGATGTTTAGTTTTTTTGCCAAACTTTTGGAGTACAAAACCTTTGGAGTACACCATGAGAACACATCCAAAGTACATGTCACATGTCATACTTCAACAAGTACTTCAACAAACAAGTCTCACAAATCAGCAGACATCTTAAAACTCCTCTAGGCACTAATTTGGGCAATTATTTTAGAGGATTATATACATTGCACCTTTAAGTTTAAGTAAGGAATTATTTTGTCAGAAAAGGGTTTTGAAAAAGTGCATTCCACCTGCAAGTTTTTTTTTTTCTTGTAGTGCAGTGACCCTCAAGTTCACTCATATGAAATAATGAAAATGCTCAGATTAGAGGAGAACCTGCATACTCAGGGACATATAAAATATAGTCTGCTCTCACATCCACATGCAAGAATAGGCTTGTGTAAAAAAGACACTGAAGGTAATAATGCCAAACAGGCCTAGACATCAGTCAGCAATTCTTTGGCAACCACAGAGTATAAGGGAGGAATGATTTTTAAAAAAACAGTTGGAAAGTGGTTGCTGGGTCTCATTAGGTTGTCTTTGCTTTGGTTGCTGAAGATTTTCCTGTTCACCCCATAGTTTGCATGGAAGACCCTGACCTGTTTGGACACTCACCAGTTACTCACTGAATAATATTGAAATAGTTGAAAACCGAATGGAGGTTTCTGGTACAAGTTAAGCTACTTTCAAGGTGCATGAAGAATAGCAATAGCTTTTTTACCAATTTCACCTACAGCCAGCTAGCAACCTCCAACAACTGCTCACTGATCGGTTGTTGCCAGGGGGTCAACAATGAGTCTCTAGGCCTTTGTCAATTTGGTCTAAAACATCTGTTGTTATAGTAAAAGGACGCTCACCCAAAAATAAAGTTTGCACAGTTATGACTTACAGAGGTTTGAGTTGTGCTGCTAATTTTATTTACCAAAGTAGCAGCATTGTGACAGTGTCCATATCTCACCTGTAGGTAGCGCAGGGAACTAAGGCCAGGCGGGACCTTTCTCATACGGTTGTTGTCCAGGTAGATCTCACGGATTTTCGGGGTGTTGGCAAGGCTGCCATTTTCTACATACTTGATCTGGTTAAAAGCTAGTCCTAGCCTGTAAAATTAACAAGTTATTAAGATATAGAAGCTTAAAAAAAATTTAACATCTTGCATAATTGCTTAATATCGGTCTGTTGTTTCTAACTTATGGTGCCCTGGTGGTGCAAGATTGCAGGTGGGAACTAGAATCAGTCTTTAGGAAATCATTAGTATCATGCTGTGGCGTGAAAACACTATAAATTGTGACAGTGTTTTTTTTTCCTTTTAATTCTGGTGTCAGTTTTATTTCTGAATGTTTGAGTAATGTTTTAATAAGTCTCAGTTTGATTCAACATGAAAACAGTCACCAGTGTTTACAAATTAGTTATTCCTGTTGATTGAAAAGTTAAGTTAATCTAACCAAAAGCATGAAGGAGAAATCTGTGTTAGTGAAGGACGTCTTTAAAAAAAATCAGCTTTTAGGTTAAAGGATTGGTGGTTTTCACCTCTGCAAGTTTTTATATCTGATGAAGTCTTCTATTTCCACCTTAGAGATCTTGTTGTAGTCCAGACTCAGTTCTGTAATGGAGGATGGGAAATCTGGAAGACACAACATACACTGATTATAAGCAGTGTAAGTAGCACATTAAGATGATTTATTTCTTATGATCTTTTGTAATGATTTGACAAAAAACGTATCAAATTACATCATATTAATTGAAGTTAGTGGTTTTACGGCTAACTTTACTGTGTAGCTAGGTCCCAGTGTGTAAAACTGTCAGTGTATGAGGAGAAAGAAAAGTGTAAAAGCTTTTAAAATGAATTGTTTAAAACACATAACATGAGTGATATCCTACCTTTTGGTATGGAAGTTAGTTTGGCTTCCGCTATACCGATATACAGAGTCGACAGGCCATTAAAAGCTCCTATCTCAATTCCACTGTTGGTCAGAGGGTTGGCCCCCAGCTCTATTTGAGTAAGCACAAAACATCTGGTTTTATTATTAATGATTCATTATTTCAATAGAGAACCTGCATCAAGTAAAGTACAACAGATCTATTGTAATGACATTCTCATCTGTTGCTCTTGGAGATCTGTACAGCTTTGTTTACATTCTCTATAAATAGAATTAATCAATAAGCCTGGACAGCTTGCAAAGTCTTGACAATAGTCTTCTAAATGATCTATTGATAACAAAATCTTGGCTTGGTCTGCATAAGGTCTTGAAGTGATTGTGTTACTGATCGTATCATTCTGTCGCTGCTGTAATGGCAGAACTCTTTGTCCAAATGAAGTGTTATGTCTGTTTTCCACTGGTCTTTTGAAGGTGATTTATTGGGTTTTCATTGTTTTCTGTCTTACAATACACACTGTTACAATGATGGGTGCTCCTATTAAACATGGTCAAAGTTTCAAATAATGAGGTCATGTGCATGTATAAATATTCTTGTGAGCCAAAAGCTCAAGCCTAAAGCTCCACCATATCTATGTGGACATATTCACATTAAATTAGACTTAGCATGGTCAGTAGAACCCTTGCAGATATATGAGAAGATAAAATTTATCATACAAACACTAACAGTTATATAGTGATTAAACCACTAATACTTTGACCATTAAGAGGTTGTTTGTTTAATCATGAGGGGAACCTTTGAGGTACTCTAAGTAAAGAGTTTTTAGTTGCCTAAATTCAATTGCATGTTAACCTGTACAATGTTTTGGACTAACACAACTGACCTGCAGCCTAGAGCCACTATGATTTCCTTTAACCATCTAGTCCTTAGATTGATTGATATAGAGACTATTTATATAGGGTTTGGATGCAGTTGTTGCATTAACTATTAGTTTATCGATCCGTAACGACAGAGGTGGCAGATGATAAAATACTATATTAGTATGAGTAGGCAGTAGAAGTTGAAGGCAGTTGAAAGGCAGTAGCAACCAGCTTGTTTTATTATGTTGGATTAAGAGCTTTTTGGACCTTTATGTAAGTCTGTAATTACTATTCATGCCAGATCTAGGTTATAGCCATTCCTTCATTCTGTTTGATTATCTTTCACTGTTAAAGTAATGTTATTACCACCTGATGATTCCTCTTTTGACTGAATAAATAAATCTTCAGACCTTTCCTTAACGAAGAACCATACACCACTGCCTTTAGAGAACAGCTATAGTTAACCAGACAGAAGAACCTAAAAGTGGGTCTTACCCAACACATGAAGTTTCCTCAAGCCCTTAAATGCATCCTTCTGAATTCTGTCGATCTGGTTTTCATGAAAGCGAAGTTCAATGACATTGGGAGGCAAATTTGCAGGGATCTCAATCAGCTGGTTGTAGGACAGATACAGCAGTCTGAGATTGTCCATGTTTTTGAAGGCCTTTGGATGAATCTTAGAGATCTTGTTGTTGATCAGAAACAGGCCCTGTTTTAGGGAAAAGGGGAACTTTAATAGAGCTTTATAGATTCAAATTCAGTTTTGCTTCATTTCCTGCACAAAGTTAAAGAGTGGAAAGTTTGAAACAGCAAAGAATGAACTTTTCTGGCCAACATTAAACCTGTGCTCGGTAAAAGGTTTTCAACAAAGAACAACATATGCTTATGATTGAAAACATTTATGTTTTGCTCAAGTTATGTTGTGCTTTTTTTGTAGTGTACTACAATAGTGAGACTTGAATCGTCATGAAGACTTTATTACATTTTGAATCAATGAGCAGACTATGAAGTAAACAACATTCAGCACTATCAAGATGCTGGTCAGTTGCACTATTCAAGCACTGTGACTAACCACAATAATAGCATGAAGTTCTGGTTTTGTTCAGTGTTTTAGGCCTTGATGTGTTTTATTCTCAGCTGAGAAAACATTGTCTACAGATCAAAGATAAAGCTTCTCTCAGCAGAGTTTTATAAAAAGTAGCTCTTTTTTTCCTTGAAGGCTGCTCTTGGACTGATATCAGTGCATTGTTTCTCCCTATCTCATAGCTGTAACAGTTACAAGACAGCATGGTCAGTCACTGATATCCTGGGGCTGAATGTGATTCATTTTAAATTTCAGAACCAGGTCTGTTCTTGTTGCCTTAGTACTAATTTGTGCTGTTTTTTTTGTCTTTGGTGTGTCTCAGTTTAAAGGTCTAGGGAGAACAAAAAATGTGGCCAGTTTTATTTCAAAAGACCTCATCAGCTGGACATTATATTATGTTTATAACAACAGTCAACTTTTCCCATATTGACCCATGAGTATTGTGGGGTTTAAACTGCAAATTACATACATAATTTATTTATTAGCAGAAATATTTACATTTATGGTTTATGGTTCTAATTGTTTTATTTAATGTGTCATTAGGTCTGAATTTATGTAGTGTTAAGTGTACCATTAACAATTAATGGTTACCAGATTTTGTACCGTACTGACTTAAGTGACTTTGATGTTTCATTTTGGCCTCTTAGGGCTTCACAATTAATCCAGTTTTAGTTTCAGGTACAATTTTGGCTCCAAGCAAATATGAAAACAAGCTGATAAGATCAAACCATTATTATGCTGCATCCTTTCTTGAAATTATGCTTCACTTTTGTGTTTAATTATGAACCCAGTGCAATATTTCATTTAAAATGCTGCATTTTCACCCCTTCTGACTTCCTGCCGAGCTGCAATGCATTTAGGTCAGGCATGATGGATCTCTTTGTGGTAATTTGTGATTTCATTATAGACAAAACTATCCATGATCATTACTTTTGGCATAATCAGAAGTTTTTGCATTGTATTAAGTGTAAGAAACTATGCAGTCCTGCCCTCGGTTTGAGCTATTGCAGCTTGGATTTTTCCTAATTCATGGAAACTTTTAAACAAGAGGGTTTACTGGGGGAATAACTGTAAATGTAAATGCTAAGACAGCATACCATCAAACCTAATAATATACCTATGAGCTTCACCTAACTTTGTATTCTTGGGTTATTGTACAACAGGACATTTGCAAATAAACAAAGGCCTCAGTCACAGAGGTCAGTTTAGAGTTCTACTCTGCCCAGCTTAGAGCAGAAGAGCTGTGCTGATGTGTGAATACAGTATGTTTGAGTCAGCTCTTTTAATCTTTAGTAGAAAGATTGGTATGTCCAGTTATCCAGCATTATTTTTAATGATGTAATGCATTCCCCTCCATGTGCAGTATATGAGCATTGCTAAAATGTGCATTCTTTTGTAGTACTTGTACATAACATATGGAGGATGCATAATGTGACTGGAACTTATTTGCTTATGTAGTTTGGTTTTCTAAGGTGGACTGATGCCATTCAGTTACTACATTTGCGTGTAACTAACTTGCCGGCATGCTTCTTCATATATTAGATGTTAACAGTAAGTAGTTCTGATGTTCAGTGCACCATGCGCAGGGTAAACTAGTTCTTAAAGGATGCCTTACATAAAGCTTGTTGAGGTCTTTAAAGTCATCCTGCTGGATTTCAGTGATATCATTGTTTTGGAGATCAATCATCACTGTGTCTTCTGGAATCTTATCAGGAACAGATATCAGACCTGTTAAGAAAAAAACATAAATGCGTATTTAAAGGAAAGAGTTGGATCAGAAATGATGGAAATAATTGGGTTGTTTTTTTTAACCGAGATACACATGTGAAAAAGAAATTGTTGTCTTTCTGATTATCCTAGGTCTCTGATAAAATACCAGTGGGTCATATGTCTGGGGTAATTATACCAAATAGTATTTCAGAAAAAAATCACAAGCTGCTGCTGCGTGTGCCAATAGTATATGAACGTTTGGTTAAAAAAATTTAAGTTATTGGAGTGATTGGCAGTGGACCCTTGGGTGTTTTCATAGCTTAATCCTAGTACCAAAGTATAAGAGAGCCCCACTTTACTGTAAGTTGGGCTTTTGGAGTTTAATGTACTGTAGTTCTTTAATGTACTTTAGTTCTAGAACTTTGACCACAAAACCAAATAGAAAATTTTAGTTTTTTGAAATGCTGGAAATGAAGGCTTTCCTGTTCCATTGGTGAGTTGTGTGTGAAAATTGTTTGGCTGCATTGCCCCTACATTTTAGAAAGTTCACATTAAATGTATATATGATGCCAAATTTCATCAGTGTCTTAACATTCATATATTTTGTTATATGACAACAGTTTAACAGTCAAATTGTTGTTAGTCCTGATCACTTTTTTTAAATTCATATACTGTAATGCCTCCTGTAAACCCAAATCAGCAATGACTAAGTACTATCTCAGATATTCCTCTACAGTTTGTGGTCATGGTGATGTTAGTCATATATGCACCACCCAACTGCTGTTAATCAGCAAGGTTTAGGCAAGCATGTTTTACAAGATGTCATTAAGATTTTTTTTTAGCAATTAATGCTCAAGTGGATTTTGGAGACTGCTTTCAGTGGTAGATAAATCCTAAAACCTTGCAAGGCAGAGATTGCTGATATCCTTTTATAAAACTGATGTTAAAATAAATATTTATTTTTAAAAAACGTTTTCACATAGACAAATACAGCAACTACTACATGATTGCTGTTCTATTTTATGTATATGAGTGCCAGAAATAGAGAAGTAACTTAAGGCCAGACTAAACCATAGTCATATTTTTGTCATTGAATTTAACTGGAATAAACATAAGATTATCACTAGCCTTACCTATCATCTTATATGGCAGACTTAACATAGCGTTTTGAATTGAATGTGTTTTAGCACACTCCATGTTTATAGTAACATAATATAACATAATGAGTTGCTTCAGACTGAGTGTGTTCTAACCCTGGTCAGAGCACTGCACCACTCTGGGTGAGCAATGGCAATGAGCTGGACAGTCCTCGTCATTGTAATCGTCGTCATCATCATCATCGTCGTCATCATCGTCATCATCATTTGAATCCGACATCATGATTTCATGGATTTTTGTGTCATAGTTTTTCAGGTAGTCCATTACATTGATTGGTTGGTAGGGTTTGGCATTGCCTAGCGCCAGCAGGCAAAGCAAGAGGAAGATCCTCATGGTTTTATTAGAGTTGTGGTTAAACAGCAGCCAAGGAGAACTCTAGGAAAGACAGGATAAATGAATGAAAAAATGAATACATTTACAATTACAGTTGCATCGTTGCATCCATGGTTGTTCCACTGGTGATTTTTTTTTTTTTGTACCTGAACTTTTATTTCAGCCTGAACAAAACTGAAATTCACATACCAGTTATTTTTCTCAGCTCACTTTGTATTTCTAGTATAGTGTAATAACTGAGTAAAATGGTGCCTGCTAGATTTGTTAACCCCTCTTACTAGTGTTTTTATCATCCTTGTTTAAAGTAACTCAAAGTGCCATGTTTAAGTAGTCCCCAGTGTGGAGGTTGAACTTGATAGCATCACAAGAAAACTTTATTAATTAATTACCAGAATAGAAAACAACAGAACAAAACAGTTCTGGCACAGTATAAAGCACACTTACAGGATATAGTATTTAGTTAGCTGAGAACTGTCTATTCCAACCTTTTTTTAATCTAGTGATCTATCAGTCTTTTCTTGACTACATTTTTACTTAAAAAAAACTAATGCAGCTAGTGCCACAGTTAGGAACCACTGTAATGTATAATTGCTGATCATTCTGACTGTTGTGCTGCAGTTTTTCCTGGGTTGTGTTTTTTCCTAAAAACAATCCAGTCAGAGCTTTATAGGAACCACCATTCTAGATTGTTGGTGGTGTTGGAGCTTTATAAAACTAGTACTAATTTCACCATAGACATGAGCAGTTTTTAGTGCACGAGTTAAATTTCATTTTTACAGCTTGATTTAAGAATATTACTAAAACAGTACATTTGAAAGTGCATGTGGACTTCCTGGAGAGATCAATTTTCATAAGTGCTACCCTTTTTTTCTACCAGTGTTTCCATGGAGCTCTCAAAACCTCCTCTGGAAAGGACTTCTTGCAGCCAACATAAATGTTTCTCCAGCTCTCACCTATTCACCATCTGTGGTCATTCACAACATGATTTATATATCCTCCTCGATTACATATTCACATAACCAGCAGAGAGAGGCTGACATTGTCTGGTTCCGTGCTTCTGCTAATCTTGATGGATTCTGAGCCGCGCAGTTCAACGTGCAGTCCACCCACAAATATGTGGTGGTGGTTGAGCATCCTGCTTTGACAGCAAATACTGCACAGCACCGACCCCCTTCTTCTGCCCCCAGTCTGTCTGTGTTCCACATGTGAACATTTAGCCAAAAAAAAAAGAAAAATACTATAAATACATCAAATGCTTCATGTATGCTTTCCAATTGTGCAGTAAGTTGGGAATAATTCTTCTTTGTTGTTGTTTTCTTTTCACTGAGTCAAACAACCATTGAAACCTTAGAAGTTTCACTTAACTCCAGTCTGACTGGCGCAGCAAATATTTACATCTAAAGAGGCATTTCATAAGTATTCAAACCAGATGTCTTTCATTAGGACTCTCATAATCTTATTACCATTTACATTGAGAAATTATCTTTAATATCACTTGGTCTCAATTATTACATGTCTAGTCATGAAAAGGTCAGAAAATACTCGTCATTTTCCATTTCTAAACATCAGATGTCTTGTTCTCTTTGATCATCTGTCCTGAGTCTAAACATTCACTTTACAAACACCAAATCTAAAACTGAAGCTAAAACCAAAAGTCCTGGGCATGCTGATGATGATTTCAGAAATAATCAGTAAGAAATAGACACATTGACAGTCAACACTTAATTGATAGTCAGATTTATGCCTGAACCTTTTCTTTTTAATTTAGGGATTTTTAAAAATGTTGATACCATGGTTAGAGCCGTCTCCTATACATCTGGCATAGGAATTTTAATTAGAAACTATAAACTACCTTTTCCATGCATTTATGCATTTATTATTGGTACCATGACCGTATTTTGTATTTTTTGTCAAATGAGCAAAGACCCCAAGCAATGCATAAATTTATTACTCTTCTCAGTATAAAGCCTAAAACTAGACAGGTCTTTCAACATGAGACATATAAACTTAACTTCACTGTAAAATGATCTAAGCACAATCTTATTGCATGCAAGTAAGTATTTATCAGTATCAGGATGCCCTGCCATAGCCATCAGCAGTTTAAATTAAAATTGGCAGATTAGAATTTGCAGCCTAGTAATTTGGCTCTACCAAAACACCTCTAGTAACTTTAAAGGTAACAACAGAAGTCTTGCTAACTGACCACAGTACCATTAGCTTGCTGCATTAGAAATATGAATTGGTGTTTTCATAAACAATAAATTAATCCAGGGTGTGTCCTACCTCAGCTGTCAGGTGTGTTTATGTCCTGGTTTAAACCCCACACAGTGAGCAGAGCAGCAGCAGGGTCCAGCTGGAAGGCTGAGAGTTGGATCCTCAGTCAATACATTCCCAGTGAACGAAGAACAGCATCACCCTTCCTCTCCGGGAAAAAAAAAGGGGGGGGGGAAGTGGTCCCCTGAACACCCCCACCAACGGAAAATTTCCACTGGTAAGGGTGAGAGGTTCGGTTTTAGTAAAGAGCTCTTGATTCTCTGAGTGATCACACCATCTGTAGGCCTGTGGGACTAAGTTTGAAAAGGCATTGTTAAGAGTTTAGTCATGTGCTTTTCATCAGGAGCTTTGAAGTAATGCCAGAATAGTTAGATTCAGACTCCTGTATGCTCAAGTCTTTATATATAGAACATACTGGTAGGTCTGTCACCTCCCCTCCCTTCTCAGCCACATTAACTGTTTTACATCAGTGTGAATGGTTTCTTCTCTGAGGCACGTTGGCACTGGGTTAATAAAGGATAGTACAACTGTACAGCTGCTGTAGCGGTTTCGTTTGTCTAATTGAAACAACAGGGTGGAGTTGAGCCTGCCCTCTCAGAGATTTTAGGGTGATGGTGAAGGACTGGTAGACAGTTCATTTAGATCAATATTACTGAAGACTAGCGATCAGAAAATTTGAGGTAAACATGATATAAGAACACAGCAACAGTCTCTGAATATAGTTAACCCATAGGAAGTGGAAATGCATTTATACACTTTGGAAGAATATATCATATTATCAAAGTGGCTGAAGTATTTTATTTTTAAGCAAACAAAAGAAATGTTTGGCACTCAGTTTTCATTTTTGTGCACAAAAGTACATTTATTTGGCAGATTTACTTGTATTTAAACTGTAGAGATAAGTAGAAACATAACTGTTGTGCTTTGCATTTTTGCAAAGCTGCTGTCATGTCTGAATAAAGGTGTAAGGAACAGTTACATAACAAACCTTATGATATGTCTAGACCTTTTCTGTCTTCTTTCTAGAGCCAAAACTTTATGGAAAAAAAGAACTGAGAACAATTTCCATTATATCAGCCCACAGGCAGATGTCCACAATTCTAAACAACTTGTTAAGGTGTATTACTCTTTGGCAATGAAGTGATACACTCTTAAGGTGATACAACATACCATTACAGTCAGTCAGAACTGGCAGCTTGGTGTTATAAATGTCCTGTTTGTGGATTTGGAAAGCAGAGATAAAAGATAATTGGAGGTGATGCTTTGCAACATCAAATTAAAGTTTACTATATATTGTGCTCTGCGTGATGTTGTCTTAACAAGACACAGTAGGAAATCTTTCAGCTTTACATTTGAAGCAGGAATGAGAAGTACCTCCCAAGAATGGAAAAGCTAACAGCTTGTTCCCTCAGGGGTTCAAGTGTTATACAATTCCTTTTTCCATTTACTTCTGGTATTTTCTGCTGAGCTGAGCTGGAATTGCACAACTTATGGCTGAGCCAGACCATCCAAATATGCCCTGGTTTGGCAGTCAGAAGACCCGAAATGGGATCGGGTCTGTTTTGGTTTTAGTGAATCGTCTTGGTGGGGAAATCAAATTTTCCAAACCATCACAGATCTGGTTAAATAATCATCACATCAACAAGGAGCCTTCTGACTTCTTTCATGTGCAACAAACTCTTTGAAGGAAATTCCTAAACGTAAGCTCTCAGTTTTATCACTTGTTATTCCTACCACTAGCTTTTGACTTGGTATAGCAATAAATAAACTCATGAACAACTTGTGGGAAACACAGCAAAAATCTGATTTTACCTCCAGGCTAAAAAAGGGAAAACATCTCTTGTTCCCAGAAGCTGGAAAATCAACATGCCCTGTTGATGTATGCCTCTCTGATGTATGGGTAGAACATGTCTCAAAGTTTAACTTTTACTTTTTAAACACGAATATATAGCTAATTTTACATTACATTTACATTTTTGTGGTATTTTTCATAACTGGCTACATATATTTATGTAATTTGTCTTTTTAAAAGCGTGTTAAATAATCTGCTTGAGGCTAGTTGGATGCATTTAAGAAGTCTCACAGAACTATGTCCACTTCACGTATTAGATACCAGTAGCTTAAACACGTCCACCTTCTTGGTTAAAACCTCAGACTCAGTTTCCAGCTCCCCATAATCACAGCTTCATGGCTGTGTGCTGAAACAATAGCCTCTTGGGAGCCAGATTGTCAGTTTAAAAGATGCCATTTTCCCAAACACTGGAGGGATCTGATTAGACCATGATGTAACCCTACATGAGAGTTTTCTCTTTTTTGTGCCCTGTGTGAGGACTAAGACATTAAAGGTATTTGTCTGCACTGTAAGGACCACTAGCCCCACAGTATATCCTGTTGTGTCATGTTGATCTGGATGGTGGGTGGTCCTTTTGTCTTTCTGCCTACCCAGAAGCAAAGGCAAACTTCAAATTATTGAGCTTCTTTGTCTGATCCAGGTATCCGTCATGCTGTCGTTTTCTGTTTTCATGCACACGAGCCCTTCGAAACCTCATACCTCTCAGCTGACTGGTCTGCCACAGAAAGATTGAATTCAGTAGCTGTAATAATCCAAAGAGGGGAAACTGGTTTGTGGTAGTGAAAATATTCTATGGCGTAATTGTTGGATTTATTGTCTTCAAACTGCAAATTAAATGTTAGAGATTATTTCCTGATGTGAGATGGTCTGCCTGACTGATGGAAGGCGGTCAGGATGTCTCTTCTCTCTAAGGATCTCATACTTTCCAACCCATCAGACGTCTATGACGGCGCTGGAACGGCTGGAACTTGTTGTGTTTTTGTGTTAAGGAGAATTTCCTCCATCTGGTAATTTCTTTTAATGCCGTAAGTCACGGGGGCAACTTCCAGGGCATCTAGCCAAAGAGTTGCCTCAGTGCTGTTGTTGCTTTAGTGCCACAGGAACGTTTTGAAGCCAGGAAACATTTTTAAAAGAACTGTGACCCTGCAACTCAGTGTGTTACCTGTTTCTGGCACTGTTACCCAGCCAGGCTATACAACAGAGCAGTGTTCACTAGCCCCACACTCCACCATGATCTCACCTCACCACAGTTCCACCCGACACTAATATTGATTATTGGTGTTTTGCTTGTTTGTTTTTCTACTTTTTTTTTTTTTTTTTTTTTTTTTTTTTTTTTTTTTTTTTAATGTGACATATATTCTTATTCATAAAACTAACTTTTGCTCACAAGTAACTGTTGGTCAGTAAGTACATTTAACTGCTATTCTAACTGAATTTAGTGATTTAACAATATATTTTAGGTATTCTCACATTGTTTTACTTCTAAATCTGTGTCAGTGGTCACTAGGGCTGCTACGATTAGTCGATTAGTCACGATTACATCAACTATCAAAATCGTCAACGACTAATTTAATAGTCGACACGTCGTTTGAAGCTTTGTAAGATCCCAAAAGACGCAGGAATAAGTAGTAGGATTTAAGAGTGTAATAACGAACTGAAAGAGAAGATGGCAGCACTACATGAAGAAGGATGATAGCTGCCGTTAAACCCCGAAGAAGAAGAAGCTGTGTCCCAGAATTCATAGCGCAGCCCATCGTTTCCAACAATGCTAGTTAGTTTTACTCTTATTATTCTTTCTGGGTCACAAAATAAACGTTTAACATATTTTCAGGCGAGAATGTAGCTGTGTAAACCTCAAATATCTGCTCAGTTTATCAAGACACCCATTATTTTCAAACAAACATTTTCAAACATGATATATAAGTCACTTAGATCAAATCTTATAGTTACACCTTAGACACTTAAAGCTGTAAGCTAATGATAGTGCAGATGAATGCTGGTGCAATAAGCTGTATGTTTTACGTCCAATGGATGCATGGTCTGATTAGTCAACTAATCGCAAAAATAATCGGTGACTAGTCGACTATCAAAATAATCGTTTGTGGCAGCCCTAGTGGTCACCAGCAGTTTTAGCTTATGACCCCTTAAAACTAAGTAATTTTTATGTTTGCACTGTGTTGGAATATTTATCCTGTACTTTACCAACATTTTGCTGCTATAGTTTGCATGCATGACACAGACTTATCTCGAACAGTGTGGTCTTTTCCATCAAACCTTTTCCATCGAACCAGTATGTTCTACGTATACTTGTTGTAAAAAGTAGTCATTTGTGTTACTGTTACCTTCCTATCAGCTCAATGGTTATTCTCCTCTGAATTCTGGGATCAACATTAAAGAATCTGGCATAACTTTCACTCAGAGAATTGATGCACACTGGATATTTTCACTTTTTATGACCATTCTCTGTAAAACCTAAAGATGGCTGTATAGAAAAATTCCAGCAGATCAGCAGTTTCATAAACACTCCGATCAGCCTGTGTGGCACCAACAACCATGCCTCAGTCAGACTCACTTACATCACCTTTCTTCACCATTGTGATGCTCAGTTTGAACTCCAGCAGGTCTTCGTTACCATGTCCTTATGCCTGGTTCCATACATTTGTACCATGTGACTGGCTGATTACATGTTTGCGTTAATGAGCTGTTGAATGGTGTGCCTAACAAATTGGCTGCTGAGTGTAGGTATCTCAGTTTTGACCAGTGAACAAAAGCATCATAGTCACAGTTTCATGTGTCTCACAAATACAAGGTTGCAAAGTTGGGGATACACTGTTATTCACAAAAAAACAAAAACGCTGCTTCATTTTCCTTTTAATTTCATTTTTTTCCATTTTTATATCACAGAAATCAGATGAATTGAGTTCCACCTCCGTACTGATCTTTTGTGCCTGATAAAATGTCTGAGTACATGGGAATGACTTTACAGTTTACTTTTTCAGTTACATCTCCTCATCCTGAGGAGCATGGATGAGGTCACATGACTAATGAGTATATGATTGTTCACTCACGTGTTTGATATGCAAGACTGATGAACAGAGCAGCTGTTCATGTTGGCAGAGGAGAACTCCCTCAGGAAAAACTTTCATCTCAGCTTTAGTTCAAGGGAGGAAAGTTTTCCAGCTCCAGGTTCAGTCAGATGACAACTGCCGGCATCTAGAAAACTGACCACACATTTGTGATTCTTTGTTTTATTGCTTTTATTCATTCAAATTAATTTTAGTCCCCATATAATTATCTAATATTTTCAGGTTTTTCACCATTAAAGAAGCTGAGGTTTTATGCTCCTCACAGTTTAGGTTTTTTTCTGTTTCAATCATCCTTTCGATGTCTGTGACTGAAGTAAATGATCCTAAACCTCAGGCTTGTAGAGGAAAATATTATGAATTGGTTGGCTTTTCAGCTCTGTTAATTGCAGCTTTCAGTAAATATGTATTACATATAGCTCAAAGACATGTAATGGAAGGTTAACTACATTTTTTTTCTTATTCTGTAAAAGTCATCATGGCTCCACTTTTTCCCTGAAGCCCAAGCTGTTAATTTGATAACATGAATATACTCCTAAATGTCCTGGACAGGCAGGCTGTGTAAATGATCAGGGGATCCAGTGCAATATAATCTAACTTATTTGGGTGTGTGAGGGTACTAGGTTTAGGCAGACTTCACTCAGACAGGAATGGTAACTTAAAGTTTATTTTTTCCGTGCATCATAACATTGTGCTAAACTGTAAAATATAAAGTTGACTCACCAACTTCATATAATTTAAGCATGTTGGCCAGCCAAGAGCAAATGAAAGGATATAATCTTCAAATATATCTTAAATTTGTGAAAAAAAAAAATTAAAAATCTAAAGTAAATTGTTGAGTGTTTTGGACCTCTAGTGAGAGCTTTTCAAAGCAACGTTAGGGTAGAACGAGCCTTTCATGTACACAGTGGTAATACATTATATTACAATTTGCACAGCTTGAAAGCTGATGCACAGTAAAAGAGTTTAAATTATCTAAAAGTCTTGTGTGTTTCTGTCTGGGAAAGAAGAAGATTCAGTTAAAAGAAAACGCAGAAGTACAAATTTACAGTAAGAAAAATAAGATATTTTCATGCAGCAGTATTAAAGTCAGAAATGTTTGGCCATAATCTCCATAAGTTCTTTAGCATACTCTGCTCCCACCTGGGATTAAATAAACCCATGTTAAGACACATACTATATAAAGCAGGATAAGAAGAAATAGAAGTTAACCCAGATACAGATGCAGTCATAACTTTGTAATGAATTGTGAATTCATTGTGAATTCTTTTAACCACAAAATGAAGTGAAACAGTTGCTGTGCAGGATATACCATAACAAAAGCTCAATATCACATATGATGCATTCATCTTGATGATGCTGAATTGTAAATCATAACACATGCAATAGCAAGACTCCCACTTAATTTTTGCATCAAACATAAATCAGACTTAACTACAATTGAGGAGGTCACTGCCCTGTCCATTCACGTAAGCAAGATAAAGATAAAATGTTGAGGAACAGGCATGTCATTACATCTCATCTCGATCTGTTTGAGGAATTGGCTCCAGCAGCACTTGGTTTAACACAATCATCTTAGGGGATGTGTCACGTGTGAGCTTTCCATGTCAGGGTTTTTATGAATACAGGCAGTGGAAGAATTGCTGCTGAGAAATGAAACATGAAGGTGCTGAGGTTGTTAAAAATAATGCGCTGTGCTTGCAGTCGCACTTCATAGAATTCTTTCCATTTCTTTATTAGGATTTTCATTTTACTGTGAATTCCTTCCCTTTTACACAGTGATCCACAGCGGCGACCCTCTAGAGGGACCAGCCAAAAGTAGAAGAAGATTTTCTGAGAGTGGACAGATGTGTTCTGTCACTTTCACACCAGTTTAAGGCCAAGTGACAGAGCAGGACAGCTTACCAGATACCAAACCATGTGTTTGGTCTAAAGTTGTAGAAAATGTTCAAATAGCATCTTACCATACAACAGTAACCATGTTTGAATGTGTGTCAGATTTTGACATCAGACTAACGCGTTTTCTAGTAATGTTTTAGGTTTATTTGTATTATACTATTTGTATGATATTAGTAACAGAAAAAAATGATGAAAGAAGATTTTGACTTCTTTTGGCAGATTAAAGTCCACTGTCTCTCAGTTTTTTATTTTGTTTATGTGTGTTCACTTGGTTTTCTGGGGTTTTAAGACCACACTTGATGCAGATCTTACACATGAAAAGGCCATTGGTGAGATTTTTTGTGGGTCGATGTAGTTGTTTTCCAATCTTACAGCCACCAAGGTGGAGTCCCCGCTGCGGTTTGGGTCACAGATGGCTTCATCAGGAATACTCCTTAAAGACATAGCATGAGAATATAGATTCATGTTTATTCCCTATAGCTGAAACAAACTTTTTTCCATTATGTGTTAACTGGCAGATTATGGAGTACTGATCTGTGCCCAAGTATATTTTTGCATATATGCTCCCTCTGGGAAACATGTCGTTTTAATGTACAATTCACTGATATGCAGAAGATACACGGTTACAGAGTTCATTAATCACCAAAACTATTAATACACAGACATTAATATTTAGTTAATATAATGAGTATATAAGACCAACACTACTAATTACTTTTCACTTCATGTTGCATTTACTGGAAATCGTCTTTTGTTTTCTTTGTGTAGTTAAACATGTTCCAAAAGAAGAAAATACTCACTTAGCATTTTCTAAGAAGAAATTTAACATATACATTTCTAGTCCGTTTTCAAGGTTTTAAACTTTTGTGCATATTTATTCATTTTTAGGTTTTTTTTTGTGTATTTATTGCACCACATATGTTAGAATGGTTAGCAATATTTCCTTCAAGTCTGATTGTAATTTCCCACCTGCAGTGTTAGCCTTCTTGCCAATAAAGACAGAGCAAAGTGCAGTGTTTAAATTGGTCATTTCAAATAAAACACACTGCCACGACCTGGACTGTGTGCACGGCGCAAGAAACCTGTGAGTGCATAATGAGGTGATTCAGTGCGACTCCTAGGTGGAACTATGAATCAACTTGTTTTGTTTCTTGTCGTCAAGACAACTCTCCATCCAGTGAACTTTCAGTATAATATTGTTTGGCAGTCTGTGTTGAATGAGTCAGTCATCTGGTCAGACTCATGTCTGTCATAGGAGCTTTGTTGTTGGTCTTAAATGACTTTGTGGTTCTGTGTTTAATCACCTATGTTTTTTCCTGACTCCTTTTCTTACTTAAATTAGTTTTTTGAGATCATCAATCACTATCTTATTTTTTTCTGTAACTAAATAAATCAGTAATCATTTCTGGTCATCATATTAAAGTCGGAGCAAATCATGCAAATCATTATTACACCATCAGTCTTAATTTTAATTATTAGTTACGCCATTGTACCAATCAAGTCAATAGTAATAATTTTTCTGTACTGTCTTGGAAGTTTGTGCAAAGCATTTGATTTGGGGAAAAAACCCATAAACAAATAACATGTAAAAATTAGCAAAGTGATATTACATTTTTGAAATTCTTCTTATTTTATAACTGATCCGTGATGGACTGGAGAGTTTCAAATATAGAGAGCTGTTAAGAGGTGTCTTCTATAAGCCTCATTTATGCTCCCATTTTATAATTAGCTAGTGCAGACATATAACAGTACAATTCTGCCTGTAACAGTACGCCGAGTGCCAAAAAAATGTTCTCAACATAAACAAATTACGAGTAAGACAGTCTCATGTGTGTCAAGGAAGTAACTGTTTAAAAAGTTTGCATATTAGAACATTCAGAATTAATGCATGTGTATTTATGAATAGTGCTTTCGTACCTGATCATGTTATTGTCGAGTCTGAGGAAGTGTAAGTTGGTCATTTCGTTGATGCCAGATGGCACAACAACCAGCTGGTTGTGGTCCAAACACAGTTCTACCAGGGAGTGGTAGGCCCCAAAGAACGACTCTGGTTCAGTCCCTTCTCCATCCAGTTTGTTGTAGGAGAGGTAGAGGTACTCTAAACCAGGTTGCATGTGGGCAAAAACGTAACCTGTGGAGGTATTTAAAGAAAATAATTTACCTTATACAATAATTTAACTCTACCCGTACAAGTCTTAATAAGTGTTAACTGCAGCTCACCTTAAACTACACAGCAAATCATTAAGTCATTCTAAAGTAGTCTGTTAACTTTGATCATGTTATTTATTTATTTAGTCATGTATATATTTATTGTTTTGTTTGTTTATGGGTAATAAACGATGGGTAATAAAAAGATCAAAATAAATACATTTTGACCGCTTCCAGTACCCATACATCAGAAAGAGCATAACAAAACCCAAACCTCTGATGTTGCTTGTGCATTGTTTTCTCAGTGTTGGAGAAACTGACCTAAGTAAGCTAGCACTTACCACTTATGTATTATAGAAGTTAATTTTCTAAAAAACTTAGATCAATCATCAGCCTAATCCATTTAAAGTTATTATTGTTTAAAAAATAAAACATTGAATAGGAAGGTTTTGTGTCAGTCCGCTAACTTTAAGAAGGTAACATTTATTAGCCAGATAATCCTTTAACCAGTCACACCTACCAGGTATCCTCTCAATATTGTTTCCCAAGAGCACCAAGTGAACTAGAGATCTTGGTAGATATGAAGGAACCATGTAAAGCTTATTATATGAAAGGTCAATGGACTCCAAATTTCTGCAGAGAAGGTAACAGTATGAAAACAATTACTAACAGTAAGAGACCATGAAAATTACAGCTAAAGTAACACTACTGTGGGGGTAAAAGCCTCTCTTTCTGTCAGACCTGTGGTTGATCCATGCCAGTGGAGCAATCCTGGTCTCCTCCAGTTTGTTGTGTCTTAAAGAAACTATGTTCAGATTGCTGGTCTGATTGAAAACGGTCTCTGAGATTTCTTCAATAAGGTTGTTCTCCAAATAGAGTTCCTAAAAGATGGAAAAACATAAAACAAAATATTTGGCAACATGAGCGTCATAATAGAAACTATTTATGAGGAAGTGGGATCCAATGTTGCCGTGAGTTCCTAATTTCACATGCAATTAGTGTAAATATGTTTCCTGGATGGTTTTTGTTCAGAGATCTTGGCAGATGGGTTTGTTGTTCTTCCTGACTTTGTTTAAGGCTGTAAATGCATAATTCATGCCAAAGCTGTGTTTGTGTTTTTTTCAGCCTAATTAGTAAAATGAGAAGGCAGGCAGGAGTGTGACCACCACGCATAACCTTTAATTATAATCATTAACTCTTCACTATTCAAAAGCCAAAGTCTCTCACAAAACTTGGAACCCTGAATATTTAGCAGAGAAACATGTTAATGATAGACTGTACTCTGGTTCTGGATGAACAACAATCAGAGGGTTTGGATTTGCAGAGAGAGTAAGTAAAACCTTTCCAGTGTCATAAAATGAAGTAGGTTTACAGCAGCATTGTGCCGCTGGTGTTCTGCATTGTTTGTGGTTAGCCAAAGGCCATAATTGCTCGGGTGAAATGGTTTCCCACAGGTAGAAGCAGAAATTAAACATCAGACCCAAAAAGAAAATTTTGCTACTTCAGCAAAAAGTAAATTCAGCTACTCTGACAATGTGAAAGAAAAATTGATCAACTATGTAATAGGTTGGTTTATTGAAAGCTGTGTATATTTATTTTCTTTGCCAGCTGCAGTTCAAAAAGGCTTATGAGCTGATTAAAGCTTCCATATTCTAGTTTAACAGTGTGCACAGATTATAGAATTACATGTGAACATTAAGGTCTATCACCTCACAAATTCTATGAAAAAACGTATCAATATATTAAAGATTGGATGGGTGATTGAATATTTTTGGCAATATTGTGTATAAGTTGAGAGGCATCACATATAATTCACCTCTCTGCAGTTTGCATTTCCAGTTTTCTTCTGTCTCCAAATATCATTCACATAGGTTAGAGTTTCAATATAGCTGCGAGCATTTGGCTGCCAAGTTTGTTTTTATAGATCCCAATGTTTGGAACTTATGTAAGCCTATTTCATCTCAAATATGAGGCCCGGGGGTCTTTTAAATAAGTCAAAAATGTGGCCAAGGATGTATCCCAGTGTGAGGAATGAGAGATAGTCAGAGATTCAAGGACACAGATATTGTTTCATACCAGCAATGACTTGGGAAGGCCTTGTGGTACAGTACGGAAATGGTTTCTCCCCAGTCTGAGGTAGGAAAGCTGGATTAGGGGAGCGAAGGCCAGAGGATCTACATTCCCCTCACTCAGCAGATTTCCTTCTAGCTCCAGAATAACCAGGCTGCTCAAATCTTAAAGATAAAAAAAAAAGATAAACTTGTGATGAATAGTGTGTTTAGAAGTGAATAACCATACATAGGATCTAACTTTCTTTTGGTCTGTGAGCTGTGCAATCCATGAAGTAACCAATTTATATTTTGAATTTTAAAACAATGAACGGTTGTTTGTAACCAGACGCAATATAGGAGACAGACATGGGAATATTGAATGGGAATCTATGGAAGAATCCTGCCGCAGCAAAGATTCTGCTAGAAATATAACTCTAATAAAGTCTCATAAAACTTTATTTTAGGGCAAACTTTTGTGTTTTTCATCAGATTTGACTAATTCCATACATGCAGCTTTATGCTTATTTGATGAATAAAATGAATGTACATTAAGATCATATTTATATTTATAGCTGCCCAAATAAGTGCTCAGGGATGCCTGTTGATTCTGGAAGTCCTACAGGCCATGTAATTGATGAGGTCAAACTATAAGGCGATTTCATATCAATTCCATTCAGTTTTATTTAGATAGTGCCAAATCAATGTCTGTGGTACTTTGACTTCTTGGACAGAGAAACACCAGCTGGATGTCATTAAAGGATGTGATAGCAGTACCCTGGAAGCTGTTTTCATCTATCCCTCTCAGTCTGTTTTCATTGATCTTCAGCTCCTGCAGGGTTGGGGGAAGGTCAGATGGCACAACGTCTAAAAGGTTTCCATCCAAATACAGACGTGTTAGCTTCTTCAGACCCTGAAACACACACACGCAGGTATAAGTACTGGAAAGTAAAAATAGGCTGCCACCAAGTTATTATCCTTGTTGTTATTATTATTATTATTATTATTATTATTATTATTATAGAAATACATGTTTGTTTTCCTTCTCTGAATTTGTAGTTAATTTTTTTTTCATTTAATGTTGTTTCCACATTTGTCACATTTATTAATAAAATGCAACATGTTTAGATGATTACTTTTTTCACATTTGGATATTTTCCATTGGTCTGTTTGGGTTTTTTTTCCTGCTGCTTCTCCTCGTCTAAATGTCAGGCGCAGTAGTCTAAGCAGATACGCAGACCTCCTTCTTCCTTTCCACCTCTTTGGTATTTACATATTTTACAGATGTTTTTAGGTTTAGTAGGACATTCACTTTCCTTCTCATAAAAAAAAAAATTGCTAAAAATCTTACCAAGTCTTAAAGATTTTGTTATTATGTTACACCTTTCTTTCTCCGTGGAGTTGATGATATTACACTGAAGATGGCCATATGTCTTTGCACACCCACCTTTAAACTTTATTACTTGAACCATTGTTATATTTCTGGCAGATGATTTTTTTAAAAAAGCTTGGGCTTCAGTCGTTTTCAGTTTTATTATGACTTACTTTGAAGGCTTTAGCGTCAATGCCAGCAGAAGTAAGTTTGTTTTTCTTCAGGTTGATCCACTCCAGGTTAGGAATTCCATTAAAGGCATCTGCTGGGATGCGGCTGATGCTGTTGCCTGCAGGTCAGAGCAAGTTCAGTTAATATTGACAACAGGATTTCTCCAATTGTAGTTTGTTTCTGTGTGCTTTCTTAATTGGAGTCTTAGTTTCTAAATCCCTTCCCCAGGCTAATTTGGCAAACGAAAAGTTTTTTCCAGCTTCTCACTTGTAGGTGGCAGTTGTAATGCCTTTCTCTTGTTAAACTTCAGATTTTTAGCAGCTTTAGATGATCGATGTTAATAATGCAAGTCTGCTTTTTCCAAACCTTGCAGCGCATTAGTTGTTTGTTTGGTAAAAGATGCTGCTGTTTTGACTGTAAAAAGATTATACGCGATTGTTGTCCAGCAGTGTTCATGTCACAAGGCTAAGACAACATATACACGATGACAATTTTATGCTTTACGTCTGGGTTGGGCCGACACTGACTATGATAAAGTAAGCAAAGGGAAGCACACTGGGTAACTGAATCTAAATACAGTAACATGTTACAATGAAAATATTATGAACATTCAAAAAAGTTCACCTTAAAAAAGTTCATGAATATTTAAATTAGCCTACAGGTTGCTCGTTGTCCAATATGCAAGGTCAATGATTAAACACTGCATTCAACTGCAACAGTACAAATCCTCTGCAATCATTAGCCTAATGCGAGTATTATCAGTTTTATATTTCTCTTACTGTTAAAAAAAAAAGGCTAAGAAGCTTCATCTCAGTTGTGGGTTGACATAATATTGAAGCTTCCTTTTTAAGTGTTTCACTTGTATTTGTATAACTCTACTGATAATATACATCCTTCTGAAATGCTCAGATTGTTTTGAGGGTTTGTTTTCTTTAATGACTCTGTGTCTCCGGTGTTGACTTACCCTCCAGACTGAGAGATTTCAGCTCAGGAATGGCCAGAGGAGGGAAGTGTGTGAGTTTGGCATCCTCACATGTGGCAGTAACGTCAGAGATGTCACAGCCTGGAGGAAGGCCTCCTCTGTTTACAACTATGATCTCCCTATCCTCCCCTTCTTCCGTCTCTTTGGTTTCTACCTGTTCCTCCTCTGTAGCAACTGGAGGTCTTGGAATCGGAGCAGGAAGGAGGTCTGGTTCCTCAGGTTCTTCAGGCTCTTTTGGAAGCATTTGAAACACATCTCCTCTCAGCCACACCTCCTCCTCCTGCTCCTCCTTTTCTTCCTCGCGCCTCTCGTTCTCTTCCTCGCGCCTCTCGTTCTCTTCCTCGCGCCTCTCGTTCTCTTCCTCGCGCCTCTCGTTCTCTTCCTCGCGCCTCTCGTTCTCTTCCTCGTACTTCTCGATCTCTTCCTCGTACCTCTCGTTCTCCTCCACGCGCCTCTCGATCTCTTCCTCGCGCCTCTCGTTCTCTTCCTCGTACCTCTCGATCTCTTCCTCGTACCTCTCGTTCTCTTTCTCGCGCCTCTCATTCTCTTCCTCGTGCCGCTCTTTCTCCTTTTCAACTAAATCCAAAAGTTCTTCCCTCAGCATCTCCTCCTGCTTTTTCCTTTCCTCCTCTAGCTTCCTTTCCCTCTCTCTTGCTTCTCTCTCTGCTTCCTCCTTCTGTCTCCTATCTTCCTCTTCCTCCTGCCTCCTCTTTTGCTCCTCATCTACCTGCCTGCTCCACTCCTCCAGTTCCTTTTCTTCCTGCAGCCTCAGTGCCTCCTCCTCCTGTTTTCTCATCTCCTCAGCTATCTTTCTCTGTTTCTCCTCCTGCTCTTTCCTTTGCTTCCTTCTCTTTCTTCTCGCTTCCTCCTTCTTCTTCACGCGTTCTTCCTCCTCACGATGCTGCTCTGCCTCCCTCCAGAGGATTTTCTGGATCTCCTCTTGGGTCAGTGGAGTCACGACATCACTGGGGTCATTGGGAACTGGGGAGTCACCAGAAATGTCAAGGCTGAGGTCAGGTTCTGGGGGGGGGTTATGGTGGTGAGGGACACCCCATCAAGAGATAGGAGGAAAAGGGACAGGAAGGAAAAGAGGAGTGAAGAAAAAAAAGTTGGAGATACAGACAGAGAGAAAGATGAAGAAGTAGAGCGGAAAAATAAAGAAACTGCAATAAAAGAGAGGAAACAGGATGGAGATTGAGGTTGGTGGGGACAGACAGGCATGGTGATAGGTGGACAGACAGACAGCAGATGGACAAACAGACGGCTGTGTGTTAGTGCTGTGAACAAACAGCCATCTACATTCTTTCAGACCAGCTTGTTAAAGCTACAGAGCAGACTGCTGCTGTAGACCAGTCTGGACCAAATCCCACTAAGACCACTAAGACATATGATCACAGTCAGATAAAGTCAGTCGTTGTGGTGTTTGCAGCTACTGGTGCATTCTGGTCCTAAATCTGAATATGAATTATAGACTTGTTTTCATAAACATACATCCATATGAGAATGTTTGTGTGTCTCATGTTTTTGTTAAGTCATGAAAATGAGAGAAGTTACAAGACAGTTTCATTTTGTAAAAGGCTAATCAACTTTGGCCTAAGAATTGGTTGGTTATATTTAACAATGGATCAGTTCCTCATCAAAATATCTGTACCACCTGATGTTGGCCTTGTTGACAGTGTTTGTGGCTGTTATTTATCTTTTGAGTCCAATTTTGTATTCGATTTCAAACATTTGTGGGGAATCAAATTAGCTCAGACTGCCTAAATACTTCTGATTAGGCATCTCCTAAGTTTATAGTTGTGCTTAGTTGGTTTCTGTAAATTTTCCGTTCAAATCTATAAAATGTCTTGTAGAAGCAGAAGCAATGGATACATTTTATAAAACATACAGTTTGTCATCTTATAAGAATCAAAAACATCATGCAGCAAAATACTGTTCCTGATTTAGACCAACTTTAGCTCACTTGTCCAACACTTGTGCTGTTTTATAGTCAAAAAGTTTGTGTTAACAAGATCATTTAGTAAATATAAAATCAAAGAGACAAACTTACATCTGAGGTTTTTCAGTGAGTTTGGGAATAACTATAATTGGACTTTTGTTCTGGCTATAAAACAGCTTCCTTCCCAGTAAACTTTATACATACAACAGAAGGTGCACGTGTACAGGTAGAGAAACACACCTTTTCTATGACCTTCAAGTCATAGAAAAGAGGTTTTCTTCTGCTGTATTTCTGTACACATGCACTCAATGTGGCATGCAAAAATATGAGCAACAAAAAAATAGTGTAAGTTCAGCTATTTTTCCCCATAATTCTTAGAAGGTTTTAAAGACAAGTTTCCCATTTACAACAAAGGATGCACATGCATGCAGAGGTAGAAAATTATTTGCCCCAACATTAGCAACTCAAAAAATTACAGTGTAAAAATATATTTACATTTAACAATTATGTTCTCATTGCCAAAGGTTTTTACTACAGGCCTGCTGGCTGAGTCTTTCCCACAAATATTTTTTTTACAATTTGTTTTCTGCCTCCAGCATCTCCACAGATCTCCCAGTAATATGACTCAGCATCTCATCTTTAAACCTCATATTAGTCCCACATTCATTCGTCTTTGTTCTGATGATCTGAATTGACAGTAAAGCAAAATTAATCCCAGACATGTTGAACAACTGATGTTATGTCCCAACATACAGACATGCTAAAACTCTCACAACATGAGTGTTCACGCATCCAAAATGTGCATACCACATTTTTAAAGCCATGATGAAACAGGAAGCAACATGCTGAGGCCTCAGAGATGGAAATTATTCAGCATCAAGGAAATGTTTCGATTCTGTTCAGAACTGATGTAATGAACAATTTACACGAGTTTCATTTTAAGAAAGGAGACGTCTACTGACTCATAAGATAGTAGCAGAGAGAACTTGATAGAACATCTTGAAATGTGGATTATTGATTGATTGAGTTACTCTAGTAGGTCCCCTTTAGGTTTTGAGGGGACTTTGGTGTTAATATCTGTTGCCTCTGAATGTTGTACCATGGCTGTGTCACATGTTGTGTTTCTACCTGGCTCCATGCAGACAGGGCAGCACTCGCCCGCAGGGGTGAAGGGGAAATGACAGTGTATTTCGGGACAGGTGCTCTCATCACAAACCACCCGCCCTCCGGTACACAGACAAGTCACACAGGGCTTTGGGGACCAGACGGCCTGGTCAAACATGGTCAGACCCTGGTACACACACTGGCCCTGCTTACCTGAAACAACACAGAGACAGTAATGTCAGGAGTAATTAATTGAAATCAAACTATGAAATGTTTATATTATCTAGAAGCATTAGTACATTTAACATTAGCAAATAATGTCTGAGACACATTAAGACCTGGCAGTGTACCCATAAGGACACACACTATGGGCAAGAACATGACTGCTACTGTAGTATATTGGCGTTTGACATCTGCAGTGAGCACACACAGTCATAAAACACTCTATGAAACATCTGCAGCCTCACCATCGTGGGTACATGGTAAGATTTCTGGTTTTCTGCACAACAACTGTGCAGATGCTGAAAGTATAATTAGCATTGAAACAACTGGACATAATTACAAAGCCTGCAAGCAGTCACTCAACACAATCAAACAAGCAGTGGGTGACACTTTGTTACATAGTGGTAAATGAGAAGAAGAACCAAATGTGGTTTCTTTTCATTCAGATACCAAACATTTTCACTGTGAATCATGTCTTAATAACAGAAACACTTTGGATCATGGAGTGCTGCTTAGAGATTACACTATTTTACTTCATATTGAAAGAGTTTCCCAGCCTCTGCCCTGTTGTAGTTTTGTTTGCTAAATAAGAGAACCGTTCTAGTAAAAAGTGCCACCAGAAAATTCAAGGAAGTTACTCATGAAAATCTAAAATGTTGCTGATTTAAAGTTGGATGACTTGCCCTTCAAGATTATATTCCTGTGTTTGTCTAAACCCCTACTTGATCTTTCACATTAGCCAAGTGGGACAGGTGGTGAGGCCAAACAGTGGCCTTTATAATGTGCTGTTTACTGGCACACTGTAGCACAATTCAGGGAGTTTCCACTGTATGTTCTTCTTTAGATGCCTCGGGACATTACAGGAAAACTTGTTACCTGTGGAGAAACTACTGGATCACAGCTGTAAATCCAGGTGTCATCAGCAGTGGGGAGCCTCTGTGTGAAAATTAAGTCAGTTTGGAAGAGAAGTGTATGTTTTCTGCAAATTTGACATTGAGATTTAGAGACTTAAAAGTGCAAAACAAGACTTCCAGGAGCACTGCTGCACAAGAAGTTGACTTTAAAGCAAACATCAGCCATTTTTGGTGGGGTGATTCAAGGAACTTTTTGACCGCATTAGTTTTACAGGATGGTGGCCCCATATTGTTCGGGGAGTGAATGGGGCATCTGTCTGACTTGCAGTAACCTGTAGAGGTGCAAAAATCTAATCAGCACCTTATGTTGTGACTGTTTTCTGGCTCTGGTGCTAGAAGCTGACATCCCCATTCCTAATCTCATCAACAAACCTCTGATTGACCAATTTAGTTTTCAAACAAAGGAACTTATTTTCACTGAACACAGAACCACAACAAATTGAGTCACTGAACAAAGCTGAGCAGTGATTTAAGATTTAGAGCCAGACACAACTTTATCCTGGACCCTTTTCATGCTCCTCAGCAGCAGCAGGACTGCTGCAATAATTGCTGTGTGTGTCTAGTCGAATCTAAAGCCTGTACTTTACCATAAAAAACAGACAAAGCATTTCTACTCCTCCCTTTGAATTAACTTCACCTTTCAACATGAGACCGAGGACAAGACAAGGCTATGCCTGGCAGTGAGTCAGTATAAAAGACTGTAAACCACTATGATACAGCAGGAAGAGCCTCTTTTTTTTTGTCTGTTAGCTCTGTCTGTCATCTATCCTTTCTAATGGTATGCTCTTTGTTACATCTATAGGAACACAGGTAGTTAAGAGGCTCAGGTTATTTCTCTTAAATACGGTCTCCCTAATATCTTTGTCCTTTTAACAGTGAGCAGTGAGACTGTCACCCTGTCATCTCAGTTCGAGCACACATACTTTAGAGCTTTTCTCTTTAAAACTTTGTCTCTGTGTCACTGTTCTCTACATTGCTCAGTAAATTGCAGGTTTTTGATTAAATAGCATGGTTAGCTTGGTAAGCACTGTGATATGGCACTATCCTATACCATTCAGAGCATATTATTTGTTGTTTTTATCACCAGTAGCACAATTAGTGGACAACAGTTAAAAACAATACAACTTTGTATAATATTATAATATATGACACAAAAATATAACAGAAACACTTCTTTGGTCTTGGAGTCACCTGGTTGTAATATCTGACTAAGCATTTTCCTGCACACCTCCTCAGTGAGGTGTTTTCGGCATGTCCAACTGGGAAGAGGCCGCAGGGCAGTCCAGGACATGCTGGGAAGAGGGAGCTTGCTGCATTTCGGCATAAGGCCCCATTACACCCACTGCTGTCATCCTTGCAAAAGGCGGTGCAATCCAAAAGTGATGTTACATCCACTGACATGAGCCACGCTTTAGTGTTGTTTTCAAGTTGGCCAGGTTGAAGGCACGAGTGTATGATGGTGTCATTTTTACTTTTACTTGGTATATCAGTGCAGAAGCTCAGAGATTTCCTGATTATACTGAGGGAGATGGTGCAGCAGTTTGAAAAGATGAGTTTCTTGAAAAAGCTTTGACAAACTCCATGATCACTTTGTTTCTTGCTTCTACAACTTCGATTGTTATGCGGACACTGGTGCTGAGGTTTTATCTGAGTTTTATGAGAGTCCTACTGTTCGGAAGAATGCTGCGAGAAGTCTGGTGCACCCTAAGCCCTCATGATGGTTGGATTTCCTTTGCTATAGCCCTTATAATTTGCTGGGCCAGATAGACAAAAATCCATAACGACTGCTGCAATTTACAGAGATTCAGCCTAATCTCTGTAAACAGTTAGTTATACTCTGTTTTTAGTCAGTGTTCTGTTGACCAGTCATGTATAAGAACGCTTTGGTGGAACTGAGGTACACTGCAAACTTTAAAACGTTTGCTGCTACACACAGACGATAAATGATCAGACCAGCCGATGTCTTCTCAGATTACTGTTAACCTTAGCCTAATTTTGAAAAGGTCGCCGGCGACCTGGTGAATGTAAATAGATTAAGATAAAGTAAATGCTCCCTGTGTAAAATATAAAAAATGCATAACTCAAAGTCCTTCTTTCCAGTTTTTCTGCCCTTGACCACTTAATACAGTCACATGACTTGGAATTATACTTTGAACACTTGTGAATTATAAATGGGGCCTCAATCTGAGTAAATCTGTTGAAAAAGCAAGGTAAGGAAGCAAAGTAAGGGGACCTTGAAAATATAAATACATCCAAAATTAACACTTACACTAAAATGCTGTGACTTCTGGTCAGAGGTCTTTCATTTCCCCAGTCTTCAGTGGAAAGTCCACTGGTTTGATGAGCCGCTTCTTGCTACTGTAAACTGCAGTCTGACTGTTGCTGTTACATTACAGTCACTTAAACAGAGACTTGTTCTTACACCCAAAACAACAGCAAAAAAAAAAATTGAAAAAATCCTTGTAGCTTCCAACAAAAGCTTGCTGCCGCTACCTTCCCTTCTAATTACATAATGCTGACTTTAATGTGTTAAACTGAAGCTTTTCCACATGGCTTTGAGGTTATTCTATGGAGCCTTTGTCCCCATCTCTGTGTGCGATGTTTCAGGGCTACTTCTCTGACGAGCTCTTTTCCCACAGATGTTTTTCCCTTCTGTTCATTTTGGAATGTGATGATTTGTCATTAAATTGCGGTGCTGTAAAAGCCGGCAGCTTCGTTATGAGAACAGGATGGAGCTTCTGAGCTGAACTGTTGTTTGACTGGACTCATACATGCAGCTTCTCTAAATCTGGATGTTTTTTTACTGTATCACTTAAGATTTTATTACCTATTATTTGTTTGTGAATCTTTTGGGATATGTTAAAAAAATAACTTCCTTCTTCTGTGTTAATAAGTCCACTTTGGTTCTAATTGCTGCATCTAATCTATCTCCTACTGGAAATGTGAATAATTTTAAAGGTTTTTTTTTTTTATCACTGTACACTGTGTTGTGATATTTGTTAGTAAAGTTGATTAGTCCATCCACACCCTATGTGTGAATCGACTAATCTATGTAACAGTAACCCTACGTTACTGTTATATTATTGGTCACATAAACATGGATTAGCAGAGTTGTCTCACTGACCTGGGATGACGTTGTAGGTGGCGTGCTGTTCTTGGATGTTCTTATAGGGTTGTAGGAGAAGAGCATTTCCTTCTACAGGCACCACTGGGATGCTGGGACCAGGAACCAGTCTGATCTTCAGAGGTCTAGTTCGCCCCGCTCTAGCCCGGCCAAAACCTGCAACCACTGGTCATATTAATGTGCATCTTTCTAGGAACATGGGGATGTTTTTAGTTGTTTTGACACTGTCATTTAACCTAAACTTGTTTCCCAGTGAGTTTATTACTTGAGACTGACTGAAAGCTAAATGTTCCCTTCTGTGTTTGTGAGGGATTTTTTTGGTAAATAGGTTTTTGCATCAGCAAACAGCAGTTTTCACACAAGAACCTTAGACCTTGCCCTTCACTGGTTTTTGGGATAATATGACTGTAGCACATAGCAGGAAACAGCCCAACTTCAGAAACATTATCACTACATGAAATGCTCTGTGTGCCTGATTAGTGGAGACAAGACACATGATGTCCATTTCCTAGAAGTGGATGCACCATGAGTCCGGCACTGACGTGTTAAAGATAGTTTAACGTCCAAACACACTACATGTGACATTTTATCTTTCTCACCAGCACCCCTGACAAGAAATTTCTAGAAAGATCCAGGGCTCAAGTACATGATTCAGAGCATGAAGACCAAACTCCACTCCTGTCAACTCTACTATCACTTCAGAACCTTTGAGATCACCCATTACATTTTCAGCACAACAGCTCTAATTGTAACTGTTGCTATAACTGTTGTTAAAACCACCTTATCTATTCTCGGTGCCTTTTCGCTTTTAGTGAAACTAGGCTTTCTCTACCTCCCTCAAATCTTTTTGCTACGGTAAAAAAAATCTCTGTACTGGTCAATTAAGCATTAAACTGAAAAAAAAAATTACCCTGAATGAAAAAAAGTCTCACCTTGTCCATCCTTCCTCCTCCTCCTCACTCTAAGAATCTCACCATTCTGGTTTCGTGGTCGGTTTCTGGCCTCAGCATCAGGGATGGTCAAGGCCACCAGCAGCCACAGACTGGCCACCACCAGCCACCACCTCATCCCTATAGAGCAGCACAGACTAGGTTCAGGAGGAGGTTGCTACACAGTACTTTCCCCCTTTTAATAAGATCTAACTATCAATAAACATGCTTTTTATCATGACAGCGTGAAAATAAACAGTGTTAAATAAGTAAATAAAAGGACATTTTTCCACACAAAGAAAGGTTGTTGTTTTTTAACAAAAAAAAAACATCACAAATACAAACAGCTGCAAAGTTTTGCATACATGTTGTTATAAACTTAGTTTAATCCCAAAGAGAATGGATTTAATACTCAGTCCACCTAGTGAAAGGAATACACTGAAGACAAATAAATAATATAAAACTGTAAATTCTTCAGGGTTTAAGATGTCCAAGTTTTGAAAGCAACATGAGACCTTTGTTTCATATTCTTATGCATCTCCCTCTACACCCATTTTCTTTTATCTTTCCACTTTTCAGCTACATATGAGTTAGAAAAATTATAAAAGGTCTAAAAAAAAGCGCCCCTCCCTTTTTTTAAGATTTCTTTTTGGTTTTAGTATTTTTCCTATTTTAAATCATCTTTTTAATGCTTGATCATTTAAATTCTTACTTCCTGCAGCTGGTAAAGTAACTGAAGTAAAGCAGATAGATTCATGTTTACCTCTAACTTCAAAAAAATAGACAACACAAAAAGAGAGAGGATTTTACCTGCAGCAGTTCTCAGTAAAGAGCTGTCAGCACTGCTTCTGTCCCTCATATAGCTCTCGGCTGGGGTCCTAATGGCTGGTTCCATGTATGTGTGTAATGACTAGTCTATAAACAGCAGTCCTGTCATTATTAAAGCATAGAGATCTGAGGCTAAAACACCCCTTCGCACACCTGATAGTTTGTTTTTCTGTCTGATTCCCCCTCTGAATGGAGCAGATTTAAGCAATTCTCTGTATCATATGAGCCTCTGATTTCTGTCCAGATAGACAACTTGTTTTCCGTACTCAGTCAATAAATGCCAGGGAATTATTTTATTTAGAACTGATTTGACATTGCTCTGAGCTTTTTAATTTTAGATCTCGGCACGTTTCAGTTATGAGAAACCAGAAAATTCCTCATCTGGTGTAGTTACAATCAGACTTGTATGCATCATCTGTTTTTGGTACATTTCTGTGTCTGTTTTGTTTCAGTGTATTAATTTTACATGTTTTCAGCAGAAAGGTTTCCACATGTAGCGCCTCCATTTTGGTCAAAATAAACACCAGGTGAACTTTTCGTATATTCAACCAAAAGCCTGAATCATGTGTCAGGTCCTCATAATGTCCTTAAACCTTTAATTCAAAAGAAAACAGAAATTATCCACAAAAACTGTAATAAAGCTCTGGGCTCAGATCACTTCTGAGCCTGATTATTACAGTTTTTAGACCAGTCCACATGGCTGATATTAGATTTAATTAAAAAAGAAAAAAGGTTTGCTGCAATCCATCTCCAATTTGAGGACTAATAACACTGACCAAAACATTTACCATATGTGGCTCACATTCAAACTACTGTTAAAATCAGCTGGAAACAGTTTCCTCTGTTTGTATTTTAAGGACAAATAAAATGCACTTTAAAAAAATGCTACATAAACACTACAAATCTGTATGGAGCAAACTGTGGTACAAGTGAAACCGGTTCATACACGCAGACCTTTGTGTTCCCATTTGACTTAATGTTTTTGTTTAAGATGACAAGTTATAGTTACCCGTCTGAACTTTGGTGAGCAGTTTTATTTCCAATTACCAGTTACCAGAAGGGTCAGTGTGCATCACTGCCACCCTCTGGGCTGGAGTAATGTTAAAGCTGATTGGCTGTGGTGATATTTGTCAGATGTATCTGCATATGAGAGACATTATGTATTTCTTTAACAGTTATGAGAGACACCCAATAGTTTATACTTTAGAAGGAAAGTGGAGTTTCAGATATTTGTCATTTATGGTGAGGTGTGGTGTTGCATCTATTCCACGTTTTGCAAACATATGTACAATTTGGACATTTTAATTAAAAGGAATCATGAAGGCTATTATTGCACTCATGGCTACTTATATTCAAGTGCTTGTTTGCACAAATAACTGTCAGTCACAAGGCAGAACGTCAGTCATATAGGCCTGCTGACGTTCAAACTGAGGATCAGAATGAGGGGGAAAGGTGATTTAAGTGACTTTGAATGTGGCATAATTGCTGGTGTCAGATAGGATGGTCACATTATCTCCAAAAATGCTGATCTAATTAAATTTCCCTGCATAATCATCTCTAAGAGCAGAAAACCAAGGGTGAAATTCACACAGGCTTGCCAAGATAGGACAAAAAAGAAAATCTGTAGCAGAAATCTGAGTTACGATTTCTGCTACAACATTCAGGTGGACGTTAAAATTTGGCGTTAACAGCCTGATAGCATGGATCCATCTTGCCTCATATCAACGGTTCAGGCTGGTGGAGGTGCTCTAAGGGTGTGGGGGATAAACAGCTTATATGTGATGTTAAGGGATGGACATGTTGACCACAGATAACCCAGGTTCTGATGGCTGCTCCAGCAGGATAATACACCATCAAAGCTCAAATAATCTCCAACAGGTTTCTTGAACATGACAGTGAGAGTATGTGTTATGTCTTATGATGGAACATAATTGGTGGGAAAGTTAAAGCTTCAAAACATGCCTTTAAATCTTAGTTCATTTGTTATTTTTGCGATATTAGATAATGAATTTTAACCACTGTTAAAAACTACATCTCCCATGAAGTTTCACTGAAAATCACACGTGTCACAGTTAGAGGCTCTTCTGATCCCCTACATACGCCCTCCCTCTTTTAATCATTCACATTTCCTTTAGGACGGAGTAAAACTTTAGTCTGCAGCTCCACAGACTGGAGATCTGATCACATTCAGTTCCGAGACCCTCCCACCTCACATCAGCCCTCACCAATAGGAAACGAGGATTCAATGGGAAACAAAGAGCGAGAGAGACCAATGTGAGCTGAGACAGGAGAAAGAAAACAGGAGGGAGGGGAAAGAGATGGAAAATGTTCAGCAGTTCAGTTTCTGGATGAGCAGGCTCAGATGGAGAGACTTCCAATATGAGCAGCAGAGGATAAAAATAACCAGGAATCTGTGTGTTTATGGATTAATGGAAGCCAGGCGGTGTTTAAAGCTTGAGCTTTGGTCCACTGCTCTTTGCTTTCCGAAAACATTCCACTGGATTTGGAGAAATCACCCAAACTAACTGAAGTTGAATTGTATTGACTTTTTATTACAAATATTTTATGCAAACTACTTTCTGGTTATTGTACCGGCAACTTCCTTAAGACAGCTCTAAACATTGGTGTCACATCTCAGTAACATAATCTGCAAAACCCCACTTATAGCCAACAAATGTATGTTTATTCAAACTAAGATTATTAGTCTGAAATAACCGATGCTTGTTTGATATCCAAAACCTGACTTGCCACCACTTATAGCTCATTGAAAACAAACATATTTGTGTTTTTATGTTGACCAGTTACAGGGTTTTTTTTCCTGCAGAGACTAATTTTTATGACTTCCAAAGATCCAAAGGAAAATCTCCCGTCATCCTTCCCGGTTTTTTTTTGTTTGTTTGTTTGTTTTTTCAAACCAATTTAATTGTTTGGGGTAGAGATGGACCGATCCGATATTACGTATCGATATCGGTCCGATACTGACCTAAATTACTGGATCGGATATCGGAGAAAAATAAAAAATGTAATCCGATCCATTAAATATCACGAAAGCACCTCACAAAACTTGCAACACACCGTAACTCACCTCAGAACGGGACCTGTCGGTGGTCTGGATAGCATGTGGAGCTTCGCTAGCAACCCGGCATTTCATCTCCGACAAAGTTATCCCCGAGAGAAGTAAAGCAAGTGTGTAAGTCCATCTCTGAATGTTTGTAAAGCATTCCTGCGTTAAGCTTACCAAACGATATATAGAGCGACTGCCTCTTCTGGCTGCTACTTCAATCAGTGTGGTTGTTGTTTTAAACTTGAGTATGAACTTATACAAAATGCAGCAAGATATTTAAAAAAAACTGTTTTGTTGATTAAAAACATTATATCGGATTCATATCGGTATCGGCAGATATCCAAATTTATAATATCGGTATCGGTATCGGACATAAAAAAGTGGTATCGTGCCATCTCTAGTTTGGGGTTTCGTTGACTCAAACATTAGAGACATCATCCATCCATTCGCTACCGCTGATCCTTTTCAGGGTCGCGGGGGGTGCTGGAGCCAATCCCAGCTGTCATAGGGCGAGAGGCGGGGTACACCATGGACAGATCGCCAGTCTGTCGCATTAGAGACATTTGTTTATGAAATGGTCATAAATAGCTTACTCTCATGCTTAGTCAGCCAACCAAAAGCCCATTCTAAGCCTCATATTTAATATAAAATGTCAGCAAAGCTTGAAAAATCCTTATTTTAGTTTCTCATGTCTCCCATTGCCTCCTGGAAATATTGAGTCTCTATAAAATATGTATATATCATAAATATCTGACACAAAAGCAGCAGATGCTCACCGAGCTTCTGACATTTAAATGCACCGACAAGGATGAAGCAAAGTATTTATTTACGGAGCTCTTGCAGTCTTTTGCAACCAGAGGAGTCACCCCCTGGTGGACATGAGAAATAATGCAGGTTTAAGGCATTTTAAACTTTGATGTCATCTTTTACACAGTAGTACAAACTATCGTCTGCGGCTCTGACAGTGCCTGCACATGTTGGTTTGTCCAGTTCATTTCCTTCGAGTGGACGCAGCAGTAATGGCTGTGTTTGTTGCGATGTAATCTCACATCGTTTTGACTAATCACAATCACCAGCCTCTAAGTGTTGTATTTAGTGTGACGAATTTTGTTCCAGGAAATCTTCTGCAAAGTTGGCATCACCCAATGGAAAACACATTAAACCAGAGAGAAATGCATATCTGTAGCAGCACAGTGGGAGCAAGCAAACGGGGCCTTGACAGACCAAACTAACCTCAAACAACAAGGAGAAAAACTGACTAGCAAAGACTTCACGCCCACAACTTCAGACGATGAGCAGCATGATCTGTTTATTCCAACCAGCATAACACGGGAGTCGTTCATTGCTTCCTGTGTTACTAAGAGACACAGGCGTAAACCAGGTTTTCGTCTGTGATCCACATGGATATCAAGCCCATGTCGTGGAAGCTGTTTTGCTCAGTAATTAAGTGATTTACAGAGAATTTCTTGCATTACTTTGATAATTAGTGAGTTATTATTGTAACCAGTGTTTATGCTCAACCTGAAAAAAGTTAATTTATCACGCTACAAATCTCCAAGTGTTCTCCAGCAATGAAACAACTGTTTACAAACCCAAGTACAACAGATGGACAGACAGACAGGCAGAGACTTAGAGAGGGGAGGAGCTGAGGACAGACAGACATTAGCGCTACATTACCAGCAGTTCAAAGGCGGCTGCAGGACTTTAGGCCAATTTCTTCCAGCCTCTTTCCTCCTCCTCTGGTTCAGCAGGAACTCCAGGAGAGGTGTGTGTGTCGCTGTGTGATGACACTTAAAGTTTGCATGTGTCTCCAGGCGCAGAGATGTAGAGTAGAGCAGAGCAGAGTAATAAGTCTGCAAAGGAAAGCCAGGATTTGTACAGCAGCTGGAACAAAAAGTGAGCGAGTGAGAGAGAGAGTAACAAACAGACAGAGAGAGAGGGCGAGAGAGTGAGACAGGTCTGTCTTCCTGTATGTGTGAGGATGCTGCCAACATGCTGCAGGATATTGGAGCAAAACGATCGGCGGTGATGTCTCAGAAAAAGCAGGACTATCAGAGTATGAAGCACGAAGCCTGTTTTGCCTCTAAAGTCTAATAATGAGTTGAAAAGGTGAAGTTTGGATGGAGGTCCGATAAGAGTGTGTCACTTCAGTGTCAAATAGAAGGCTCAGTGTGGAAAAATCCTCAGAGCCGCCTGAAGAAAGGAGGAACTTGACCTGCTCTTTCAGGTCTGGAATGATGCAATTAACATTTATTATTTTAAACACAGACAGACGCCACATTTTTGTTTTACACTATCAACACACTCATTAAAAAAGAAAACATTTGCTTCCCTGACTGACTCGATTTGGCCGCTGTAGCTGTAGATTATTGAATCTGTTTGAATCTGTTTGCAGGCTGAACTCAAGTGTCTCCCTTAACTACTTTCATGCTTTCTATAATCAGAAGACTTTTCCTCTGTTAACACCAGCATGGTAGAATAACGGGCTGATATCAACACGATTAAAGACAACAGCTGTTTGTGTGATCATCTGCACTGACAAATAAAAGGAAGGAGCTCAGAGAGAGCTGCATTTCCACCCTTTTGTTATCCAGATGTCAGCTCTTCAGCATCAACATCTGTAATACGCGTACAGTAGGCAAAAACATTACAAGAACAAGACACTGCAGGTTCCTCGTGTCCCATTACAGCTGATTCTGTCCCGACGTGTCTGCACACTTTCAGCCAAACTGACTTCATATGTCAGTGAAATGCATTTATTTAACTCCTTACACCGTGAAACCCTACTAGCAGTAACCCTTAAAGCTCTTTTCCGAAACAAGCAGTTTCTGTCATATTTCAGACTTGCTTATCGAATAAAATGACTTGGTTTGCATCAGAAGTGAGTAGGGCTGCCACGATTAGTCGACTAGTCACGATTACGTCGACGACTAATTTAATAGTCGACGCGTCGTTTGAAGCTTTGTAAGATCCCAAAAGACGCAGGAATGAGTAGTAGGATTTAAGAGTGTAATAACGGACTGAAACAGAAGATGGCAGCACTGCATGTACAAG